CCCGACCCCCGATCTTTCTGTGGAGGGGTGCGGGTTGCAACGCTCTGTTTTTGAGACTGGCGATATGAGGAGCTTGATGGCTTGGGCTGCTCCCGCTCAGCAGCCCCACCCCTGAGCAGGTCAGCCTGGTATGCTTGTAACACCGCCATGGTGTGCAAACATGTGCCAGCCTGACCTACCGCCGTATAAGCTTTCCCAACCAGACTCGATGTAAGCCTAACGGGCCTGGTGAGTACGGTTTCTCCCACGATCTTGACACCTCAGCATGGAGATCGGGGAAAACGGAAGACCCCGTCGTGAAGGCTGTGATCTGGATTCAGAAAACGCTCGTCTAATTATTTTTAGAACGAGCGTCCTGTTTCTAGGCTGGCCAAACGATATTTTATTTTGCCGAATGCACGAACCACACGCCATAATCACGAATCACACCTCATACGCGAGGGACTGTGGTCTCCTCTGTCTCGACACTCATCACATCCACCTCCTCGGAGGAAGATAGATAAAGCGTCTGGCTCTCTCTCTCTCTCCGGCGGGGTGGGAAGAAACTGCAGCAAGGGCTTCCGAACACTGAGAGACAGCCGCGGATCTAGCGGGTGAGGACCGAGAAAAGGACGAACCCGTCTCAGATCCCTCCGCTAAATCCACCCGCGATCCCCATGACAACAGTCTGCGCTGTGCCTCGGCAACAGCGGGACCGCTGCCAGTGGGATCGCGAGCCTGGCCGCTCTCATCAAACACAGCCAGGCGAGAGCGGAGCATACGCAGAGAGAGTAACTCGCAGTGATGGCAATCAGCAGCTCGAAAGCTGACCGTGCATGCTCCGCTCCTAAACAAACGACACACAAATTGTGTGTATCCCCTGCTGCCAGATATCGTGGGCAGGGAGAAACACAGCGTTTGTAATGCCGTTCGCTCGCCATAGACTTTTTCATGATTGTTTTTTATATATGCTTGTGCGGACAGACAACAGTAAATAGACAGACACATACACAGAGCGCTACTGAAGAGCAGAAGCTGGTTTGCGC